GTCGCGGGCCCCGCGGGCCCCGGGCGACGGCCGCGGAGCCGGGGGGCCGGCGGGCGACGGCCGCCCGCCGGGGCGCGGCCCGCCCGCGGGACGACGCGGGCCCCCGGCGCAGGCACGCGCGCGGCTGGGCCGAGTCCGAGCGCGGCGTGTCCTACACGTTCGGCGAGGACGTCGTCGCCAAGTTCCTCGAGGCCCACGACCTCGACCTGCTCGTCCGCGCGCACCAGGTCGTCGAGGACGGCTACGAGTTCTTCGCGAACCGCATGCTCGTCACGCTCTTCTCCGCGCCGAACTACTGCGGCGAGTTCGACAACGCGGGCGCCGTCATGGCCGTCGACGACACGCTCATGTGCTCCTTCCACATCCTCCAGCCCGCCGCAAAGCCGCAGCCACCGCGCCCCCTCGCGTCGCGCGCGCCGACGCCTCGGTGAGCCCGGGCCGGCCCGCCTCGAAGCCCCCGCGTCCGAGCAGCCCTAGTAACAATGCTCTCGCGGTGATAATACAGGTGCCACGGACCAGACATGCGCACCTGTAGATCTGTGAGATCATCGCAGAGTGCAAGCGGCCGGTGCTCGACTCGGCCCGCACAAGCAGCCTGCAAGCTATGGCGGCCGGAGTATTTCGGAGGGTATATACCGGTATGGTAAAATACCGGTATATACCGGCATATACCCGGGTCCGTTTTCCCATACCGGGTATTTCGGTTTTGGTCGTCCGTCATCCCGTAGACGGGTACGGCGCGGCTGCCGTGCGTAGGGCCGCCAGCCGGAGAATTCGTCGCCGGCGTGTCTTACGTCGACGCTGCTCCTCATGCTCAGCATCGCGTGCCAGATGGCGTGGACGATTACCCAGTTCGACGTAACAACGGCGTACCTGCTGGCGGCATGGACCACGGGCTGACGCCGTCGCGCAAGTACTGTGACAACCAGGCGGTTGTCTTCGCAATGCGCAAACGCGACCTGACGTCGAAGTCGCGTCACATTCGGGTGCACCTGGGCTTCTGCTACGACATGCTCGACTGCGACGGCGTCAAGATCCTCTATGTTGGCACTGAGGTAAACCCGGCGAATGGCCTGACCGCGGCGGAGGCGCCCGATCGATTCGCCCGGACCATGGACGCCGTCACGGGACGGGAGCCGCAGGGCAAACCGGTCCAGTTGCGCAGCCGGAAAAACAGCGCGCTCTGAGTGTGCAGGTCGGGTTCGAGACCAGCGGCGCCTCACCGACGCCCGAGACGACCCCCGCGCTCTCTCCGCCGTCTACGACGAGCTCCGGGCCCAGCTCGCGCAGAAGAAGCCGCGCGGCGGGCGAGGCACGTCCCATGTTTGGCGCGCGCTCACGACGAACGCGGGCGCCGTCAACCCGGACGGCACCCCGGCCGCGGCCATCGTCGTCTCCGGCTCGGCCGTGGCCCCGGCGCTCGCGGACATCGTCGAGGCGAAGTTCCGCTACGACGCCGCGGATCCGCGGTTCTGCGCCGCCACGGCGCGCCGCCGCGAGGCGGACATGGCGCGGCTCCGCCGGCTCATCTTGCCCGCGGAGTGCGAGGCCGACGACGCGCCCAGCGGCGGGCCCGTGGCCCCCGCGGACGTGGCGGCGGCCCGCTCGCTCACCAAGCGGAACAAGGTGGCGCATCCGGAGGACGGTGTCGTCCCGGAGTCGCTCGTGTACGGCGGCGCGGCGGTCGACGAGGCGGCTGCGCCCGCCTTCTCACGCGTCTTCGAGACGGGCGTCGTGCCCGCCACGTCGTGTACCGGCGCCATGCGCTGCGTGCACAAGGCCGGCGACACGTCGATCTTCGAGAACCACCGAGGCATCGTCCTCTCCAGCCACTTCACCAAGCTCTTCGAGCGCGTCGTGCTCCCGAGGCTCATGGCCGTCGCGGAGGTGGACGAGGCCCAGGCCCAGGCCAACCCGGGCGTCGACTGCCGCATGCAGATCCACCTTCTGCTGGACGCGTGCGCGGCCCACCGCGAGGAGAGCGGCGGCGGCGACGTGTGGCTCATGACCATCGACATCACGCGAGGATTTCCCTCGACACCGCGCGCCCTGGTCGTCGAGGCCCTGCGCGAGGCCGGCGTCCGCGGCCGGCTCCTGCGCGTCATCATGGGCCTGATCTTCGGCACGAGCGTCGTCGTGGGCGTCCGTCCGGGCGTCGAGACGCGGCGTGTGCCGCTCGGCGTCGGGCTACTTTAAGGCGCGGTCCTCAGCCCGGCGCTCTTCGCGATCGCGACGAGCGGCCTCCTCGCCGCGCTCCGCGCGTCCGGCCTCGGCGTCCACGTCGGCGACGTCTGGGTCGGCGCGCTCATGCTCATGGACGACCTGGTCCTCCTGGCCAGGTCCGAGGCCGAGCTGCACGCCATGGCGGACATGGTGTTCGAGTGGGCGTGGAGGAACCGGTACGTGCTCGCGCTCGTCAAGAAGAGCCACGTGATCCGCATCGGCCCCGTCGACGAGGCGCCGGCCGAGGACGAGACGTACGTGCGGTTCCAGTGGAGCCCGCCGGGTGGAGCGGACGAGGCGACGATCGACGTGACGTTCAAGGTCGGGAGCACGCTCGTGTACCTCGGCTTCCTCGTCTCCGCGCGGGGCGGCTCCGAAGCTCACGTCGGCCGCCAGCTCGGCACCGCGGGCTCGATCGTCGACCGCATGGAGGCGGAGTACGGCGGGCGCGCCGTCGTCACAGTGGGCCAGTCCATGCTCATGTGGACCCTCCACGGCCGGGCGCAGCTCGAGTGGCCCGCCGCGGTCCTACCTCCCAGCGACGACATGGGCTGGTTCGAGGAGCTCCAGCGCCGGGCGCTCCGCGCGCTCCTCGGCGTCCACGCGCACGAGGCCAACTACCGCGTGCTGCTCGCGGTCCTCGGCCTCTGGAAGATGGAGGAGAGGTTCCTGCTCGAGCGGGCGCGGTACGCGTACGCCTGGGTGCGGTCGGAGCGCCGGCCGTGGCGCGCCGCGCTCGGGGACGAGCTCAGCCGGCTTGACGCCGACGGCGACGACGACGGCTTCCCGTGCGAATCCGTCACCGGTGCCGTCGCAGCGGCCCTCGACCGCCTCGGCTTCGACGATTGGCCCGAGGCGAGGAGCGACCCGATCGACGAGGATCCGGGTCGAGGGACCACGAACGACGGCTCCTCGAGCGACTACGACGCGGAGCGCCCCGCCGACGACGCGGACGACGACGCGGGCGCCGATGCGCCCGTCGCCGACGACGCGGGCCCGCGCCGCCGCTGGGACGCGGACGTGCGGCGGCGCTGCACGGACCTCGTCCTCATGCGCGAGGAGGGGCTATTCAAGGTCGACGCGGCGGCCGCAGACGGGACGCTCGAGCTCAAGTCCGCCGCGCTCTGGCTCGAGATCGCGGGCGAGGGCGCGACGGGCGCGCGCCGGACGGCGCTGCGCCAGTGGATGCGCCGTTGCGTCTTGAACCTCACGGCCGACGCGGGCGGCGTGGCCGTGCTCAGCGTCATCTGCGGGTGCTGGTGGGCCGCCCCCACGTCGCGCGTCCCGGACCTCGACGGCATGTGGCAGCCGCCGACCTGCGCGGCCTGCGGCGCGAGGTCGCGGTGCCTCGCGGCGCACCTGCTGCTCGGCGGCGTCGAGGACGACAGCGAACCGCGGTGCTCGTGCCCCAGCGCCGCGGCGCGCCGCGCGGACTGGGAGGCCGACGTGCGCCAGGCGTACGCCAGCTATGCCGACGCCGGGACGACGGTCAAGTTCGCCGCCGCGCCGCCGAGGTCCCTGCGACGCGTCGCGCTCATGCTCGGCTTCGCCGCGGGCGTCGACCTGCCGTGGAGGCTCTCGAGCCGGCTCCCGGCCATCTTCGCGGCCGTCTGGGGCCCGTGGTCGCGGGCGAGGCTCGACGAGGACGCCCAGGACGACGACTGAGGCGCCGGCGCCGAAGAGGCGCCGTGGCGCGAGGAGAGCCGCCGCTCCAGGCGCGCCTGTGGCGGACCGGCCAAGCCGGACCGACGCGACGCGCGCGGCGGGCTCTCGAGCCAGCGCCGGTGGCAGGGACCAAGCCCGGGGCACCGTGCGCGACGGCCCGCGTCGGCGCCAAGCGCCGGCGCCGGACCCGAGACCGAGCCGCCCGACGAGCCCGCCAAGCTGGCTCGGAGGGCCGGCGTGAGACGCGCCGGCGGCCCGGGCCAAGCCCGGGTCACCTCGCGCCAGGGACGTTCCGTAGGTCGTAGGCTCGTAGGCACCGGCCGAGGCTACGTAGGCTCGTAGGTACCTACGCGGTCCGTTGTAGGCTCCCAACGGACAGCCCCCCAGTGGGAGCCTACGTAGGTCCGTAGGCTCGAGTCGAGGCTACGTAGGCGCGTAGGCACCTACGTAGCCACCTACGGAACGTCCCAGGGAGCCAAGCTCCGCGCCAGGGACGTCTGGGCCCCTGCGACAGGGACGATCCCGGCCCCTCAAGAGGAGCCCCCCCGGGGCCCGGTGCCCCCCCAGTGCCCGCGCCCGCCCAAGGTAGGCGCGTAGGCGGGGTGTGTCGCCTAATGCGCTAGAGAGAGACCAGGTTCGCGTGCTCACCCGACTCTCACCCAGCTCCCGGTCGTGGCCGGCCGCCACGCCCGACTCGCTGCGGGGGAGCAGAGAGGTTCCCCCAACGTTCCCCCAGCCGGGACGTTTCACCTGACTTGCAGTCAGGCATTTTCGCGCTACAGAGAGCGTTTAGCGCTTAGGAGATGGTAACATTTCCCAATCACCTAGAAGGCGGTGTGCTGGAACATGTGACCTGGGCAGCAGCGCAGCTCCTCCGCCGACGCCGCCGCCGGCGCCGAGAGTGCCCCCCGAGTTGTGCGCCGACTACGTTTTGCTTACTAAGTAGAACTTTTTGCTTTATAGCTGCCCTGATGCCTCACCCTGTCGAAGTCGCCGCGTGCTGTTGGCTATGCCCGCGGCGACTCGGTCGTGTAAGGCCCGGCGCTTCTCCTGGGAGACGTCGAGGATGGAGATGGGCCCGAGGAGGAGAAGCCAGCGCGGGAAGAAGTAGTCGTGGGGGATGCCGTAGGCTGAGATGACCATTGGCAGCCAGAGGCGCTCGATGGAAAGGATAATCATGCTCTTCTCGTGGAGCATCTCCGCAACAGCGGATGCGCGGACGCGCTCATAGGCGCTGTTCATGATCGCAATGAGCAGGTTCAGCGCGAGGATGCCAAAGATGAGCATGAAGAGCTGGAGGATTGTCGTGATCGGGAGCTGGCGGTCCATCCGCCAGTTGTAAAAGCCGCTGCGTCCGCTGAGGTAGTCCTTCTCGAATTCACCGTAGAAGCCAGCGATGGATAGGTAGACCATGAGCCACTCAGTTGGCGTTTCCCTCATACAGATCGCGAAGGCAAGCCAGAAGCCGACGAGCATGAGGGCCACGACGGCGGAGAAGAAGCGCACCTCCCAGACGATCTTGACAATCATGCGCACGAGGGGCCCCCATTTCTCAAAGCCACGTGCGAAGGAGACAATCCTCGACGTGAATAGGAGGACGTTGACGCAGG